CCTTTGGAGAACAAATTGAGAACGGGTGCAGTGGGAAAAACGACCTCATGCCCACTAACAGGCGGAATCGACCAACGTTTGATCGAGCCCACAACGACGGAAGAGAAAAATAAAAGATCGGGAAAACCAGACCTGCATTGTGAGTAAAACGAAAGGATGCCTTCGATGTCAATCTCGGCGTGACAGCAACAATTGATGACGAATGCTGAAAGCAATGAACTATTGTCGAACAACTCGAGAGCGTCCAATGGTCCGCGGCCTTGGCGTCGGCTCGGGGAGAAACACAGTGAAGCTTCAATCTGACAACAACAACTAAGTGTTCCGGACAGATCGCTCTCTATCTCATCATGTCTTCCAAGGTCGCTCCGCGCGGAGAAAGGTCTTGACCGTAGAGGTCAAGAATTCTCTGAAGATGTGTCGATATTCGCCGAAGACCGGAAACAGAGAACTTGTGCATGGTACTCGACGCCAGCGCAAGCCTGCGATGCGGATTAGCGAATCAGAGTTGGCTCCACTCTAATATCCGAGGCGTGCTCCGGTGGCCTACAGCGATTCATTCGGTCGGCTCGACGATCTCTCAGCCAAGTCGGAGGCCAGAGAGGCACCCGGGACTCCACTGACGGACGCTCGCTCGCGGTAGATCGACTGCGAGGAGACCTCTGGCATTGATTAAGCGCAACACTGTTTTTTTGTGCTCGTGGAAACTTCAAGGTTCCCGCCCGCGTACGTGTGATGGAAGAAGGACGCAAGCTCTGGAGGTCAAGGGAGCAGGATGCTCCCATTGTCGTTGAGGACTTGACCGTATGATACGAATACTGAACTCGGCAGAATCCCGATTCGTGGAAATCTTAGGAACGCTGAATTCTTAGGATATATTTCCATCTCTACCCGAGCAAACGACGACGGAATTCATGATAGACGACCAGAGAAAGGCCACAGAGGGAACATCGTGAAATGTCGGACTAGCTGCCACGCAGCGGATTCGCTACAATCGAGGTCCGATAGATAAGATAACGACTGCTATAGCAAGTGTGACAAAATTCGGATATGTTTATGGGGGCAATCGAGCTCGTTCACGCCCATCGATTGTCGACTGAGAGGGGGTGAAGCCATAAGGTTTTGGTGGCTGTTTCGGAAATGTTTCGAGGAGCTCATTGTTTCGCTGTAAATCCCGAGCGCTGAAATGCTATCGTCCTCGGTGCGGTCCAGCCATTCAAAGTCGCCGCGCGCCGTCCAAACAAGAGCGGAACGCCGCCGCATTTGAGCTCGTCGCTCGACTGGCATCTTGTCGGTGCATAGGGTTCGCCATCTGATTTGCTCCGGCTCGCGCTGAAGGCTTAACGTGGCCGTCGCTCCTTCCGTGGGATTCAAGAATCGTCTCGACAAGAACTGCGGAAGTCGGTCAGAGCTCCCGCTGCCGGATCACATCCGCGCGGACCATCAACGCTGGCTTGGGTGAAGCCTGACGAGGTATCGCTGACGAGCTAGATACCCACTGCAGTCGACACCTGATATGGGACGATGAATTCCGAGAACAATGGTTTGATTTTTCCCTGGAGAATCGACTCGGGCCAGCAGGTCTCTTTAGGCCAACGTTTAACGAGTGGCCTTGTACTGTGAGCTATCGCGAGTTGGGGCGTGAACGTTCGATAAGGGAAGACGATCTTCGAGTGTGGTACTGGGTTACGGCCGTCGTAAGCCGACGCCGTCGAATTCGTGTCGTGCGATGAGATCGAATTGTCAGATGTTTCGACATTCACGGCGTGGACAGAAATCCCCGTGTTCTTTACTTCATTTGAATGTTATTATTTTGAATGTTCGCACCATTATCGGTCTCGCAGAGAAGCATCGCCGAGTCTACCGAGCAATTGTCGCTGTCAGCGAAAGCCACATTGATTAGGGAACCAGTCTTTCATTTTTATTGAATGAACGAGGAGATTCCGACGGCCTTGGAGAAATAGGTCGCCCCATCTACAAGCTCTTGTTCTCAGGATTAGTTTACGCTGGCCATCGGCGGACAGGCATCTCCAGTGTTCTGATTTATGTCATAAAACTACCCGATGTTGCTTTGTGCTGATTTAAGCCTTGCTCTCTCCGATGCGGGAATCAAAATGAAGATTCATCAGAGATAGGCCGAGAGATCGATCGGGAATGCGGTGGAGCCTCGGTATCGACACTGTTCAACATTTGCAACATGATCGGGACGCAGATGGCGAATGGTCATACGATCTAGATTGTCAGTTTTCCGATTCGAGTGAAATTGACCAACGGGCTGACCGAACGTCTGCTGTCTCTGTAGAGCTCTCACATGGCCTTGATCATCGAGCGGGTAAGTGTGACCTCAGTCGGAACAATCAGTTGACGAGTTGATTGGTTTTCGCGGTCAAGATTTCCCGATTAGTTTGAGCTCATCATTTTAGCGGGGAAGCTGCACCGTTACAACCCACGAACGTCATAGGTGAAAAGGAAAGCAGAGAATCGTGTCGAGCTCCTGCCGTATCAGCCTTCAGATTCCGATTTTATTCTACGTTCTCGTGTGATCTCTGTCGCTTTTCCGGAAATGCGCCTGAGCTAATACGACAGCCAACAAGATGAGGTCTCTCGAGAGCTTGGCCTCGCCTCGAGCGTCAGTAATTCGCGGCGGCAAACGTGCAGCGCAGACGGAAAAAAAACGCCGCGACAGCGGAAGGAGCAGAGCCCGATAAATCGAGGATCATCTCAGGCGATCATTGAAACTGCGAGATACGATCGTAAGGAAGATTTAGAGCCCCCGTCGTCAATCGTTCAAATGGCTCCGTAGGGTTGGAGGGAAATTTATTTCAACAGAAATTCAAAGACATCCCGCTTCTATCAGACAGAAGCTTTGGTCGTTGACCGGAGGTGAAGCGAGTTGGATTTGTGCTCGGCCCGAGCAATGAAGAACCACCCATTGCGGACCAGAGCCACGCAAAAATAGAACTTCGGTCTTCCTTTCTTCTTTCGACTGTTCAGCGTAGCAAGCAGGTCGGTTTTGTGAGTGAAAGCCTTCGGGCGTGCCTAAATATTCTGCCCGGGTCAAACGCGTCAGAAGATCCACCTCCGCAGCGCTGCCTTGCCCGAGTCTTCAGGGGGTTCAGCCTTCAATCTTGGAGGTTTTTACACGACACATTGAGTAACAGTGACCATTTTATAAGCATCTGTACCCCAAATGGGCAGCCGACCAGGGTTGTCGTAGCGATGGTCTACAACCGAAAACGAAGAGATCAGAAAATACGTGAGAGGCTCGTTCGGGGATCGTCACATGTTGAACTGTTTAGGCGTGACGGCATGTGGTGTGGGCAGATGTAAAATGGCGTCGTGTGCTCGAAGGGCTCGTCTGCCGGTGGAAGTCGGACCGTCTGCTCTTGTTATTCCCGAAATGCATGGACGGTGATCGCTGATTCGAAGTCCACTCATCGATAGCAGTATCTCACAAATGTGCACCCCGTTCGTCTCACCTGTTTCTAATCGGAGACATATTCTTCCCGATATCGACGCGCTCCAATTATTCCTTTCGAGACGATTTTAAGCTGGGGCCGACGGAACAGATGCTACGAGAACCCGCCGAATCACTCGGACTCTTGACAGACCCATTACGGAAAGCGAGGACATCTATCCGAAAATGGAACCGACGTGACTCGAGAAATCGCAGGCATCCTCATTCCAAATCTGAAGCGGATGAAACTGAAGGCGCTCAGAATGAGTTCCAGAATCGAGTCGACGCTGAGTCTGTTTCCTGTCGAGACCAAGTCGCTTTTCTTTCCTGTGGACATCACCAACAATCATCGACCCGATATCATTTTCTGAATCTCGCTCTGTCCAGCCTGGTTGATGAGAAACTAGAGTCGTGGAGCGTAGCGGGAACTCTACTCGATCCATCTCCAGCTCGCAGACACACTCGTTAGGATGCCCATGTCAGCGAGAGGAGCTCCTATCTCTGCTTAAGAGCGCAAATGCCTACCGCAAGGTCACTCCGCGTCGTGATGAATATAAGCTTTAATCTTGATCTCCTGGGACAACATGACGAATGTTTCATGTTGCGGCTCACAAAAAAACAGTTCTTCTCGCCGTTATCGTTTCCTTGAGAGTACAGTACGCTTTCTGTGTCATTGTAGAGAGGGCACTCGATCTTGATCAATTCACTTCCCGCAGGTGGAGTGAAATCTCATCCAACATTGGGAAATGAGTAGATATGTAGATCCGAGGGCTCAGGCTCGAGGAGAGGAACATCGATCATCTGCCCGAGTTGATGATGCAAGTTCCGTCCCTGTTCCTTCTGCTTATATCTGATCGTATATTCCCGTCATGGAGCAGCTTGAAGTTGGCATTATCAGTTATTCGATGCTGGTTGGTTGGTTGCTTGCTCTCTTCCCTTCATGCCGATCTTATGGGATATTTCGACGGCGTTTTTCGCTGAGACACGATTCGAGCTCCACGGAACGGGAATCGTGACTGTGAAAGTGTGCCGTAGTGGAGACCAGTCTGGAGAGCGTGCCTTGCTTGATTGCCGATCTATATAGGGGTCGAGACAGGAGAACGTGTCGCCGAAGCAGACAGCCGAAAGAATGAACCTCTACGTTTGCATCGATAAGGGCTAAATGAACTTGAACGAGCCAGCTGTCGCTGAGAAGCATCTTATTCCTTGCTAGCAGCTCGAATTTCAGATTTGTTGCTGCCGGGGGGTTTGACGTAATTCGAATGCTTGAGCTTTCGAACAAAGTACGCGCAGCAGTAAAGGAGGGGGATTCAGTTGAACACTTGACTTGAGGTTATCGCTCGAGACCTTGCGCGGAATTTCCGAAAGCCAGCACACCGTTTCAAAATCGAAGATGCTTCGCTGTAGCAATCTTCGCTTCAAAGTCAACGAATGACAATTATCCGAGTGTGTTCTGCAGAACTTTTTAAGTTATTGTTCGTGAGATGGCTTTCGCGGACTGAGGGCTTTCGCAAACACAATGAGAGAGCGAAAAGCAAAACGAGTTTTTTCCTACCAAAATATATCTTTATTCATTCTCGATTTTCCGATGATTGTCGAATGATGTCGTGGCTCCGGCAAGTGCCCATATATATTCATTCATATTTAACTGCCGTATCGATCGCGTTTCCATTCATTGATTCATTCATGGATTCGTCTGTTTTTTTCTGCGATCGCTCCACTCGTCTCAGCTAGCACAACAGATGTTCTTCATCCGTCCGTTCCTCCCTACATTCGCATCGTTCTCGAGAGTGCATGCGACTGTCTAGTCGCTGGAATTGCATTCACGTTTTATGAGTGAGATTCATGGTCTCGCGTGGCTTGAAAGACTGTCGGGTTGAGAGGAGCCCGCGTTGTGGCCAACAATGGAGTAGTAGAGTTCGTTCGTACATTCGCTCGTCGCTCGCTCGCTCGAATCGTAGAATCGTTTGTTGTCTACACGGAAATCTCCATCCGATCGATGCTCGATCATTTATTTGTACACTTCCACACACTTATACAATCACGCACGCTCATCCTTCATCAGATCATCTGTGCACCACACATTGGCCGGCTCGTATTCCGGCCGGCGTAAATCTCGCGAAATCCTCCCCTCGGAGAGATTTCCTCAAGGCGAAGACTGCCGTTTGAAGCTAGAATTACGACGACGCAGCGAAATTTCGGCGCGTCCTTCCTAAGTTTCCTAGTTCGATGACGATGATAATTATCTACCTTGGTTCGCAGTGTTTCTATGTTTGAATATTGTCCTCGGAAAATATTGCAGAACTCCGTTCGATCGGGAAATCACCGGAGTTTTCATACACTCGTGGTGTTCGATTCGTTCTCCTTGGTGAGGAGCCGAGATCCGTCGGTCGTTGAGAATTCCTGCGAAAGTTCTTGGAGGAAGATTCGGAAATGTACTGGGTGCATGTTCTTCGACAACTGGTAAACCAGGAACCAGTCGGCGGCGCGGAGACGTCGCATGACGCTGTCGACCGTCCGGCGGTCGGTGATCCTCGCCCGGTTCTTCAACAGAATGTGACGTAGACGCGGCATCATTATCGTGGCCAAACGATAACCGACCGCGATGCCCGTTCCCAGAGCCAGAACCACCCACCAGAACCAGAGGAATATGTAGATCTTCTCGTTGATGATGTTCTGCGCCAGAATGCACAGAGCGTCGTACTTCTGCACGTCACCGGACGTACCGAACATGTGGAATGTGCATTTGGTCAAGCGGGGGAAAATCCGGGACATGGGGTCGTTCCTCACCTCGGGATTCATTTCGCTGTGCTTGAGCACATCGGTTCCGTACGTCGTGAACATGTTCCCGAGGAAACGATCGGTGAGGAGAATTTGAGCGACCACGTTGACGAAGTTCAGCGTTTCGGTGAAGACGTACGCATAGAAGTAGCAGGCATGCAGCCCCAAGTGGGTACTAATGTATTTCGCCACGACGGCGGCTTTCCCGCAAACTTCGTTCCGGTCTTTCACAGGGCAGTCGAGGTCTTGAACGAGCTTCTTGACGAGTCCCCCTTCGTAGAGCTTCCAAATCCAGTGAGGCGCGTAGAAGGCCATGGCTTGCAGGAATAGAACGAAGCACACCCATTGATAATACAGGAAGTATGTCTTCCTCTCGCCGGGAGTGAACTTGTCGATTCCGCTGTACGGGACTCCCTTGGGTCCGACGGTCTTGTTGTAAGCCTCTGGCAAGTTGAAAGTTCCGTGCAGCCAGCAGAACGTTTTGAGCACGTTGTTCGGGATCGAGTCGTGCTGCACGCAGCTGATCGGGTCGCCGAAGTACTGCGTCGACGTCACCAAAATGCTGAAGAACACCAACAACAGCGTTGTCGCATTGTAATGCAACCTGAATAACTGATTATCTATGACGATGCTGTGGAGTTTCACCACTCGGCCCAGAGGGCCGGCGAGCAGATTGAACATGCTGGCAGGCGCTCACAGCTGACGGCTACCACGGCGGATTTGCACGACCCGAAGGGTTGTTTTTCCTTGATTTTTCCCCAATCACAGTCACACTTTCCGGCTCCAGACGATTCGTTTCCCCCTCGACCACGTTCAAGAGGTTCGAAACCTGCTAAAGATGGCGTCGTATCAAACCAATCCAAGACCGCATAACACAGCGCGGCGTTACAGGGAGGCAGCACTGATGGGGCCGTTCGTCGCCGCCGGATCTGAGCGGGCCCGACGCGCCATGTTGAACGAGGGCCAAAGCGAAAACAGGAGAGGGCCGAAACAAAAAGCAACAGTCACTTCGGCTCATCGTGGCGCCCTCCGTCGGGAGCGAATCAAGGCTCTTTTATTTGACAGACCAACGAGTCACGCTGAAACTACGCATGGGGAGCGGGGAGGATTCGGGCGCGACTTTGTCAGCGCGCAGGGGCGTAAGGAGGGGGGGGCTAAAGGAGCTATAGCCCCCTCCCAGATGATCCCTTCGTAATGCTGTAGTATAGGAGCAAATCGCCATATTGGATTTCAGCCCCATGCGGAGACCCGATCTAGCCCCCCCAAGAAAAATCCTGCGTACGCCACTGTCAGCGCGTGTGATTTAACGCGGAAAGCCTCCCAATCCGATGCGAGCCGAAGCAAATCGAGAAACGCGTCACATCGGGGAGAACCTAAGCCGTTCGTGGCCCTAGACAACTGTATGGGGGAGTCCCCCCTCGAGGCTCGGAGCGACTTACACGATAGGTCGAGAGCGTCGTCTCTGACTCGTTTTGGGCAGAGAATCATCAGTCTAGCTCTTGCACACCGGAAAGAATCTTCTCGGATTACCGACCGAGCTGTTGTCATTCACGCAATTTGCTTGGTCTCTCCTTCGATTCACCGGGGTACAGCGAGGAAGTTCACGCTCAGTGAACTTGGCAAGCTCTTTTTTTAATAATTTCTGCCATGATACATAGGAATGCGGAGTCACGGCGAGGCTAGAGAAGGAGTCAGAACGAATCGAATAGCGAAAATGGAAATGACTACACGGCAGCTGTACCACTCCGATCTGAAAGTCAGAAAGAGCGCGATAATATTCTGGTGTGAGAAGTCGGGCCGAAGCGAGGACCTGCTGGCACCGAGAGCACTCTTCCTCATAAATCAGAGTTTTTTTTACTTCGTTCCTGACATCCCCGAGAAAGGAGCAAATCGAAACGAAGTAAGTGCGAACGCCGCTGTATAATGGTGCGCGCGTTCCAATGCAAATCCTAAGTCCGGCAGAAGACAAAATACGACGCGAATCCCTCGCTGGAGAATCTTTTTCATCACCGACAGCGTCACTTCAGGAAGGCCCACTACCTCAGGTCTATCCATTTATCTATCGCTTCGGAGTCACAGGCAGCTGGCAGCATTCCCGAAGCCGCTTTTTCAACATTATGGTCATAATCGAACCTATGTCTGACTGTGAGATTGAAATCATAAGTATGATCGCGGTCATAATCGCCCGTGTGATTATATGATAATAATCATCGTCATAATCACAGAAATCACCGTTCTCACAAGCATGCGTATGATTATGATCATAACCTCGGGCAGGTCGGTATCGTTTCCTATCGGGGGCGCCGTTCATGAAGAAAAACGAGATTCACAGTTCTCTTCTCTGAGCAGAAATACGAATCACTGAGTAGCTCTCGATTGATACACTGGCTTGGTGTCGACATCAATGTTTGTTATTCTCTTTCGACTCGAAAAACAGAAACAGAGAGACAGCACGTGAAAAGAGTCGCTCGTGGGTTCACGATAAATTACTCGAATCGGAAGAGCATTCATATCATCCTCATGCTGTCGTAGCTCCGAGAGTCTGAGACGTCGCTTAATGTCCCACGGAACAGCTCGGCCGTGGCACGAACTGAATTCATTGTCGTTCTTGTTGGGGTTTCGGATGCACTAGCCTCCGCCTCGACGGAGCTCTGGAGTTCCGAAGAAATGGATTGGTTGCTTCTCGGGCGGTCGCTGTATGTATATGTATGGTTTCCAGTCTCTTGGGTTGGAGAGTGTTTTATGATTATATGATTATGTTATTTATGATTACGGTCACAATCATACGAACGAGGGCGATCACGGCAAAATCATATTCGTAATCATGACGGGAACATGCTCAACACTTCAACTTGAAACCGGCTCTTGGGAAGCGATGGGTCGGTCGGTTGACCGGCAACCGGTCGTCGAGCGCTTTGGTCGTTCGCCTGAACATGTGTCTGTGTGAGTCTTGCAGCGGGCAATGGCCGCTCGCGGCTTTGCAAGTTACCAGCACGGCGCGCTCGGGTCAGTGCCAACTTACCACTGTGGGCGGGGTTCGACGCCGTGTTTCGTCGAAATTGGAACTTTGTTGATTCTCTAGTTCTAGATCGGAATCGATTTCCTATTTCCCGTACATCGAGTAGTCCTTCGGACTTCAATTATAATGACTAGGGCCTGAACTTTCAGGCACTGAAAAACCCGAGAGAAGGCAGGACCGAGTTCGTGGCGGAGGCAATTCACGCGCGACAGAGTCTCGGGGATCGACACCATAATACTGAGAAAAGCTTTGGCCCGACACGTAGTCGGACTAGAAGAGCAAATGTAGCTTTCTCCGGTTACCAGGTTGAAGTCTTGCCCGAAGAAAACCTGCCAAGCAACATTCGAACTTGACTTTAGGGTGGAAAAGGCAAAATGCCTCGAGAAAACGTAGAAAAGGCAAAATGTCGCCAAAAAACCGGTATAAGGCAAAAAGAGGCACCTATGGCATTCTGCCTGAAGATCCAGGCTCTAATAATGACCGCCCGATGTGAACTAGACAGCGTAAGAACATTAAGAGCGAGGCCTCGATATATAAAGGGGTTTGATGTCAAGGAGCGCCTCCAAGGATTTTGACTGACGAGCGGAACTTGTTACACACTTTTGCCGATTAGGGAGAAGCTGAGAGAATAAAGAGTGAACTTCGATCCGCGGAACAAATGCTTTCTACCCGATGGCAGAAGTTGAGCGATTGCGTCAGAAAGCTCTGCCGGGACATGTCCTATGGAGGTCACGACACAGTGTATGCCTAATGGGAAAGTCATTGGTGCGCGTTCTACCAACGGCTCCAATGATGACATGCATCCGAAGCTTCAAGCAATGAAGTGACAGTTAGTGAGTACATGACGTCCGATGTCACAATGGGCCAACTGGCGATCTCATCATCTCATGATCGGAAGTCGACATCGTGGGTAAACGACGGTGTGAACGCGCGCTTGACTCACGCCGATCGGCTCCTGCTAACCACGAAAGCGAATAAGAGCGGAAGACAGGCACCGCGAAGAACATTTATCGAACACGGGATCCGCTTATCCCGATAAGTTTCAAGAGAGTCCGTTCTCAAGGCTTGAGCTTGTGCGCTCGCTCTCAGTGCGTTCTCCGTCTCGTTGGGGGAGTCTTTATCGATCCGATTTCGCAACTAAACCGGTGATGGGGCTCGCCGAACTTCTTTTCTGGAGCTATATCACATCGCCGGAAGGCAGAATACGAGAGTTCGGCTCCTTGACATGTTCGGGGTCTGCAGCCCGAGAAAATAATTGAGGAACATCAAAAAGCATTCTCGACTGGGGCAATCGGGTGTCTTCGATTCGTCGAGAAAACAGGAATTGGATCTACTCCCCAATGGGAGAACTGGTCTCGATCGTGCCCGCCAAGCTGAACGAAGTGGACGAATTCTCAAACGAATCGATTCCCATCCTCGGAAAGGGTGAGTTTGATCCAATTTCCGAAGCCCGATAGTCAGAATGAATCCCGTCTGAATTTCAAGTGTGCCCAAGGTCCGAAAGTAGCTAGGATCCGTGAATGGGTCACGAGTGGATAAATCGATTCCGAAGTTCATTCGATACACAGATAGGGCAGTTTTTCTCAGAAGAAACCGAAGAGTCGCAGCGTGTGTCGGGGCCAACTTCGGCACTGTTAACCTCTCGCTTGCTGGGTAGTACGGCATCGCACTTCTTTGTTCGAGTCTACGTAAAAGAGGCCCCTCACGTAAACGTCGTTCGAGCGTTCTATCTGAGCTTAGTGGAGCTACGCCCAGAACAATCTGCCTACCACTTTCCACCTAATTTATTATAATCGCCCTGTATTCGACCTGAGAGGGAGCGCTGATATTCCAGAGACGCTCGCTCTTTCGTTGGAAGTCTCTCGCAAAACTGATACTCCATTTTTGGGTCAGCGAACCGAGTACTAGAGCTTGTGACGTGCGGGAGGCAAGGATGGGTCGTCGAGGGCCTGAGATAGGTATCCACGGCCGTGGTCGGTAGAAATCATGTTTATTCAAAATTCAAATAAATAAGTTCAATTCGATGTTGACAAACGTGCTCATGACTGCATGTCGGCAACTGGCTGGAAGATTGGGTTTTCTCCCTCTAAGAATAAGATTGTTGCTCTAGACCATGGGGTCCACGAGCGCTTTTTTTTCGTCGTTCCGCGAGTCCCCGCCACCTGGTGAGCCACATTTCTTGCATGAGAGCTCTTTGACGACGTCTCTGAAGTGGTGCGCTTTCACGTTGTCTTTCAGCAACGACAGCATGAACCAGTCGCCGTAATTGGCTTTCTCGGTAATCGTTCTGAGTTCATGTTTATCGACCATCCTGCTCACTTTGTTCAATAGGAGATACCGATAGGTGGGAGCTTGAATGATGAATGACCGATAGATGATACTGGTCAGCGTGACGACCAGCAGGATGACAAACCAGAACCAAAGAAACACGAAAATCTTCTCATTGATGATGTTCAGGCTTAGCAGACAGATGGCATCGTGTATCTGCACTTCGCCCGACGTCCCGAAGCGTCTCAGGCGACATTTCGTCACTTTCGGGAACACTTGAGCCATCGGATCAACACGGACCTCGGGGTCCTGGGCGAGGTAGGCAATCGCTGAAGGCCCGTAGTTCCAGAATTGGAAGTTTAGGAAACGGTCCAACAAGTACAGCTGCAGGATGAGGTTGAACAACGTCAAGAGTTCACACCAGAAGAAGCGGCGCGCGTAGTTTTTGTTCTCGAGTCGGTTTTCTTCGAAGAAGTGAACGATTCTCGCGATGTTCGCCCTCCGCTTCTCGTCTTCAAGAGCGGGCTTCGACAGCTCACTGATCAGAATCTTCATTCTTCCGTGCTCCCAATTCTGCCAGAGCCATCGCGGAAATAAAAAGCTATGGCTTGGAAGAACAGAAACAGAGCCACCCATTGATAGTAGGAATGTTCGATCACTGGTTCCTTATCGGTGATTTTCCGCTGATCGACGCCGGGGGCGGCGACATCGTCCCCGAGGGTCCCGTTGAGGGACCGAGGTAAGGTGATCGTTCCCTCGACCCAGCAATAGTTGTTCATGATCTCCGACTTGTGGGAGAGTTCATAATTTAAGCAGTGTATCGGCTCGCCGAAAAACTGCGTGGCACTAACGAGCACACTGCCGACGAGCAGCAACGTTGCCGTGAACTTATAGTGGAGCCTGAACACACCGTGATCGGTTTGCACTTCCGGATACCTGAGCAGGCTTCGGACAACATCGGTCAACAGCAACCTATCCATCTTGGAACGTTGGTGCGGAGTCCCGCCGAGACGCACGCCCTGGGACTAGACGGGACCGAATGTTGTTTCGAGTGGGCAGTAAATCCTCAAGAAAGATAGCTCAAGATCTCGGAGAGAGCCGGTACCGCCATCTAGCGAGACTCAATATTTCCCCTTCTAGGTGAGCGGTCTAACGTGTCACGCCGTAACCTGAATGACGTAGCTTGCTGGAGTCTGGATGCGATCCAGGTCCGAGTCCGGTTCTCATTAGTCATGATTGTCATCATAGAGTGCTATCGACCGCGGAGGCGATGGGCCGCCAGCAACCATCACCTGATATAGGGAAACCATAGGAGTCATTTCGCTCCGTAAATCAGTGGAAATTTGGGCAACTATGGCGGTTGCTCGATCGACGGTGCAAAGGAGGGGGAATCACTCAAAAATCCGAAGGCAGCGACAAATAGATTCGGCTACCGAACGGGATTGGGATGATGTCTCGCACACCTACGAGCATCTTCATACTTCCCGGGAATCATCGTGCATCAATAGGTATTTCATTGCTTAGGGTTTCGCCAGGAGACCACGATGAGCGCTTTTCGGAATATCGAAATTCAGGAGGGATTCTGTCTCACATCCGTCAACAATATCTGACGTTTATTTTAACAAAACTGACGCTATCAGGTGTGGGATATCACGCATATTCGATACAAGCCCAACTCTCTAACTTGGTTCTCCTAAATCGTCGGCACTCTCACAAGTTTGAAGGATTCCTATCTCTATATAAGCTCTTTAGTCTATGTGAGTTTGATTACTTGAAGTTTCTTGAAAGTCACCCTGTCGAAGCATCACTTCCGCGTCCCGTCAACCGGCGACCGCAATTGAGTCATTTGGTCTACTGGTCTCGATGATCGAGCGATGTTAGCAAACAATTCTGCGCCCTCTTAGTTTATGAGATGGAAAGCGGTGATTCCTACGAGGGTACCTTTGCTCCGGCGCTGAGAGGACGACGTTGTCTTGAATCACTTTGCAGTTCCGCACAGTTGGCGCTCTCTGACTGGGAAAAGTCGTGGATCCTGGATCGAGAGACAACGCATTCAAGCTTCATACTCTTCCCCTTCAAATTTGTCAGGAGTCTCAGAGGGATGCGATTCTGTGATTTCTCGCCGTGTTCCGAGCATACTTACGAGGCAGGTGGAGACCGAAGTGGAATTTCTGTTTCCCCGAAATGTTGTCCCGGAGAAGTTTCACGTTCGACAAGGTGGGCTCATCCGGTTTGGCCACCGTCCGAGTGATATCCCGCACCCCGTCGGTGATGATCGAGAAAACAGTTTTCTCCGAGTTCACTTTGACGTGGCCACTCTTCAAGCGGCACACGACCTCAAGGACGGAATCTCGCGAGCTAACGAGGCCGGCTCGCTGCTTGAAACTGATTTTGTTTACGTACAGTGAATTGCTCGCCTGCGGATAGGGAACATTTCAGTCTTTTCAACGCAGTATGATCATCGGGATGTCGTGAGTCCGTGTCGATTGCGGGGTGCGCTGTTTTGCCCGTCAGCGTACCGAAATCGAATGACACAAATGTGTCACGAGTACAATCATATCGTGTGGCTCTGCGAATGACGGAAGGAAATCAACAATGGAGCTCACCCGCATGGTGTTGCATCCGTCGTAGGGAATGAACATGATCGTTGCCGCTTTACTGCCGCTTCCCCGCACAACACACGCTGGATTTCCTGAGCCCTCGATCCACATGACTCCTTTGAAAGCCTCGGTCGCCGGAATTTCTACTTTCATACCGGTCGATTCACAAGTGAGGCGCACTGAAAGTAACAGTAGGCAAGTTCAAGAAGTGATTATCATTTATCCGATCTTTTCCGAATACACGGTGTCCAGGCTCTGTCAGACTGCTCTCTTCCCTCCTGTTCCAATGTTCTGTGCATGTGCTTTTGTGTCTGAGCTAGCTCCCCGAGAGGGAAGAGAGCTGATCCGCGGGTCGGACCAACGTCAATTTCAGTGTCGAAGAGAATCGATTCGACGAGCCCCAGCAACTCTATGAGCAAGGAGACGATTGCGACGGATTCGCCGAAGTTCTAGATCTCTACTTTTCCAAAAATAGGAGCAGTACCTTTGTCTTTCCACTGATCGGCTTGAATCGCTCCAATGAGTCCGAAGAGGAACACTAGCACCGAGTTCATTGTCACCGGAATTGTTGAACAGCACACTTCACTCTGAACAGCGCTCACCGCAGCACCCAACACTAGTGGTCAGTGATCTCGAGGGTTTGCGATGGCTTGCACGATCCAAACTCCCGATGACGGTGGTATTCGGTGGCGCTGGCCAACGCTCTTCAGCGAAGGGTACTTGGATGGCGACGGCTCCAGACCGATTCTCTGCATCGACTGGACAGCAAGGTCAGAAGCGTGGATTCGAGAGATTTCCTCGCGAATTTTCCACCGCTTGAGCGTGAGCTCGCCGCTCGAGGGTCGACTTTCGGTAACTGCCGGTCGCGGCGCCGCAACCAACGACTTCTGAGCAGTGGTTTGCAATTTTTCATTCCGTTGTTTGTGCTGCTGGTGTCGGTGCCGTTGTTGTTGCCGGGAAGGAACGCTCTACTTCTGCCAGATGCGGATTTCTTGACGGATCAGATGGACGGATCAGAGAACTAGAGCCGCTCTGCTTTCCTTTTGATCGCCGCATCTCTTCAAGGTGATTTGGTCACGGCCGGATGATCTCAAGAACCATAGTCACCGTTAGGCAGATGATAGACATTTGCCGGACGCTGGAAGAAAGGCCAACGGCCTCAGCGGCCGTGGGAGGCTCGGCTCTCTCCGGCGTACGATTTGCGCTTCGCTTCGTACACTGATTCTGACTGAAGACTCGGGTCCCGTGATCGTTCCCGAGTCACAACTTCGTAAACAGAGGAAGAACAAGCGGAAGTTTTCGAAGAATCGAGCAACGACTCCACGCGAGGAGGTTTATTAAAATATGTGAGATTTACTCATTTTGAACGATGCATAACCAACTGCTCACCACGTGGAGATGTCCGAAACAGCGACCAACTTGACTCAGCGGTCGCGTCAGGGATCGTACGAGTGCGAGACATTTTCTGGGAGTGTGTACACCGTCACCCGGTCGCAGTTCACCGTAGCGGCTCCGGCACGCCGCTTTTCCGTGTCGGCAATCCTAGATGGACTCCCAATGACATAAGAGGCTTGATGCCCACACGCATCACTTGTATATCGGACGCTAGATCGATCGAGTGCGTCATGTGGTTCGGCTGAGACAATTTACAAAGAAACCTATTGTAATTTCATCGAGTTCACCAAGCCCCGTAGACTATCGACTTCTTTACGCGCGATCGAATTCTGCATATTCAACGACTCTATCTCCGATTCTTTAGCTTGGAGCTGCAATTTCAACATCGATACCGATTTCTCATGAGCACGATTGGTTTCGTCGAGATGGACTCCGAGCTTCTGGAGAGACTCGTCTCGATCATTGATTTCCTCCTGCCACTGTTTCTGGCAGGCGTCCAGCTCGGAGCGGGTGTCGACGAGAGCTGTCCGCTGTTCCTCGACAACCTTGCGCAAATCTTCGTTGGCGATTCTGAATTCTTGCATCCGCATCAGAGTAGAGTGCATCGAATTCTCCATGGATCTCACAGCGTCTTCGAGACGTTTATTACGCTCGAGCTCTTCGTCCAAGCGAATTTTGGACTTTGGGTCTTCCGCGGGGTTCTCAAGTGTTTTCCGACGCGCATCGAAAAGCTTCGTGACAACTTGCTCATAAGTTGAGAGAGCTTTTGCCTGACTTTCCAGGGTCTGGTTCAACCTGACCAACTCGAACGCGACCTGGAATATAGGTAAGTACTCATCTTCTTATTGATGTCACCGCTGCCTGACAGGATATCTGAGACGACATCTGGAATCGATTTAACTCACATCGTCATCGATTGATGGTGCTGGGGTTGGCGTCGGTTGCTCGCATATTTCGTCGGTCTGGACCCCGACAGCTTTGAGGACAGACTTGGCAGCCTTGGGCTTGACGAAAACCGGCGTCGGCAGACCTTTGATCAGAGGTGAGCTCACCGATGCCCTGTGTGAAGAGAAAATGGAGGACTTCCTTCCCGGAACAGTCGCAGGAGGTTCCATCTTGTCGACTGAAGGCTCCTGCTGGCCATCGTGGACTTTGATTGGATCGAACATGGCGATGAATGAGACGCGGGTGAATTTCTCGTCTTTCGTCACGCTGAGCTTGTTCGTCTTCTCCAGGGTACTCTGCAGAGAAAGGGGGAAATCCAGAGGTCGACCTCGATGATGAATTTCGCGCAGAGCCATGGAAGCTCTCGTATCAAATATCGATTATTATCATTGACTTCTGGAGAATTCTACCCACCAAGTCGAAGGGATCATCAGATTTCGCAACCGGGAGACCCGAGCTAGAGGCGAAGACGAAAGAGCCCATCTCAGCAACGCCCCCGTTCACTTCAGCAGATTTCGCAGCGGCGGAAAAATCGAAAGCGATCGATTCGTTGAAATTGATCAAGCTGGAACGAGTACTCCTGTCCGCAGCTGAGGGTGTTTTCATCTGGAAGTTTCCTCTCTTCGGCGATGAGACGAAGCTCAGTTCTAGAATACTGCTGGTTCTTTTGGCGAAAGAAGAAGACTTCCGTTTCTCTTTCAGGAGGCTCGTATCCTCCTCTTGAGCAGGCTGTTCCCCCGAGAGTCGAGTTTGTTCTGGGAAATCTTCGCAGTCTTTCTCGCCGATTCCGTCGTACGTGAAAGTCCCTCGAGCCTGTCTCCTGACCGGAGTGGACATTTGTTCGTTGAGCAGACACGATGCGGCGGCCTTGCTTTCCTCAGGCTGACAAGTCGAATCCAATCTCAGATCCAGATCTGGCGATCCACTGCTCGAGACCCGGATTCGGGGGATGGCGTCCTCTACGATTGAGGGTTCTTTGTCGAAGGTCTCGTTCGCTTTGGATTCGACGAGCGACACTTCCGGCTCGGGCTTGTCGAAAGTTCCGTTGAGATCCGCCTTCTCATTGACCGGAGATGCCTCGTAAGACGACCTAGCTTGCTTGTGCGCGCTGTCCCCAGCAGTTCCTTGTGTCGGGGTAAGGAATAAGTCGTCTTCGTCATCACAAATAGACGAAATGCGTGCCGACAAGGCGCTCTTGTTAACAGGCGTCAGGACGCTTGACCCTCGTGACGGTAGCGACGCAGTCAAGTTGAAGTTTTCGTTCTCGCAATTCGAGCGCGATGTGGACGCTGGGTCCTCAGACGGATTCGAACATCGTGAAGACAAATCCTCCTTTTTAAGAGGGTTGTCACTCCCGCCAGATTCGGGAGCAAGTCTGTAAAGTGAGCTCGGTCTCGTGAGGATTCGAAGTAACAGCGGATGCCGAGAGCTTTCGCGGACGCACAAATGAATGAGATCACTCTCTACCGATAGCATGTAGAGACACGTACTCGAGAGTGGGCGGCTCAGGTCCGAGATCGACGGACATGTGTCCGTCGACGCTCATCATGCTGACGTCGTGAAGGCAATCTGCACTCGGGACGTCCCCGATGGATCGCCCGTCAGTGATCGCTGGGCCTTGGTGCTCTACCTCCGTCAAATCGCCGTGCTCGTCTGCCGGACTCGCAGATTTGCGGACCTCTGCGGCGCCCTGTGCGATCACTTCAGCATTCGGACAGCTGTTTTCGTCAGCTCCGGCTGTCGGAGTCACCTGCCGAGTTAGGAGCCGCATAACTTTCGCACTTCATACTCATTAGAATATCGCCCGCTCAGTCTTTCGTTGACTGAGCAGTTCACGACAAAACTAACCGAATAAAATGAAATGAAAATCGGCGGCACTCACAGATCTGTCTTTCTCTGGGGCAGTCCCAGATTTTACGAACTCCACACTGGGAGTTCCGCTTTGGGAAGGAATGCGCTCCTCAAACGAACTCATGACGGACTTTAGCCCGGAGTCTTCCGGAAGCTGGCCCCCGGAAACAGTAACCAGATCAGAACCGATTCACAAGAGTCCGAATTAAATAGCTATAAGTTTTCCCGCGAATACAGTACGAATGACGGGACTTAGGAAGCATTCTCACCCCTGCGTCCGTAGCCTGAAGTGTGAAGGATCCCGACATGATCTCCCTAATGATTGATACTCCTGAAATCTCTGTCCAGAATCACAAGTCGGAGATGGTCTTCCCAGGGGAGAATCGAGCGAGTGGGTGCTTTCAATTGTCAATTGCTTCGGATTGAATCAACAACCGCCACTGGAAATCCGCGCTGCTGAGAACAGATACAGACCGAGACTCCCATTGACTCGAGGAGGTTTTGAGCGAATTCCAGCCCTAAGGGACATCTGCTACTCCGATTCAATCCGGGATGTCCGAAAATCTCTCGACTGTCTCATGTTGAGTCAAATGCTCGGCTCGTCAGAAAGGGATCCGGACAAAAATGAATTCCGGGATCGGAACCGAGTTGACTCGCGGCCCTCGGGGGTTCGAATTTGACCGCGTGCTGGCATCCCACAGGGAACGAGGTCCAGCGACGCCGACGTAGGCAGCACCGAGAGTCATGAAGTTTCTGACTCTTCCCCGACCACGATATCCGCTGATGAATAAAGTTCAGCTTCGCAGTCTCCTTTTAAATCTCGACACTCCCAACTTACTTTTTATTTCTCGATCGTCGGGCTCTCCGATCCGGGAAGAGCCTCTCGGCAGGCGCATTCGATACCAACAATCCTTCATGTTCTTAGCTGTGCCAGAAGTTGTGTCATTGTGAGTTCTCACTTCACGATGGCCGGGTCGCGCCCTCTGAAATCTGAAAGGATGCCGCTCGGAGGAAAGTCTCGAGCACGGGTGGGCCACCCCGCCGCCGTCCGACTACCAAAAATGTGATTTCCCGAGAAACGAAATTTTGCGAAGAGCGTCCGCGGTAGAATTCTTCGCTCATTTCTAGTGTTGATGAGTGAGCGATGATGTATGCATATGATGATATATGTGAAACATATGTGAATGATATGGGCGGAACCCCAGGCGATCGCACGCTTTCTCATACGTGATCTCCTTTCCTACTAGACGATCCATCCATACCATCCGGCTAAATGGGGAATTTTGGCAAAATCGAATTGACCTTAAATTTCATCGACTCGGGATTTTCGGCCATTTATTTGGAAGAGTTATCCTTTAGGGTTGCATATGTGTCCGAGCAATATGCTCCGCGTGCAGCCCATGGTTTTCCGATAGAACCGAGAGCGATTCCTCCGGCGATGTACTGGCATCTCTCCCAGATCCAAGGACGATCGTCGCCTGAGCTCCACCGTTCCTCGAGACTCCTCGCGGCCATCGAGCTCGGCAGTTCTTTCCCCTCTTAACATATACAAGCTAAATACGTCGAATAGTATTTACATGTCTTTCGCAAACGATAAGTTAGATTCCAGAGTTTGGACGACTTCACATTATATTCATAGGGCTCTCATATCCCGCTCTGAATAAAGGGAACATCGTCTCCGTACAATGAGCGGTGAACTATTCGCGCAGCGGCGTCGAGTCCGCTTAGATAAGCTCCGGCTAAAGTTCTGCTGAAGTTTTGACTGAAATGTTCCCCTGCGAAGAACACAGTGTTATCTATGACGGGATCACAGGTTGTTCGGAGGTCCTCGTTGTTCGGAACCACCTGCGAGTGAAGGGAAGGCTGTTTTCAGGTCGAGAAATTTGAGCGAGACGATGGATGGCTGCGATCCAAGCATTCGCCGTCATTCGCATCCTATCCGGTAGATATAGTGTTCACGACATCATTTCTCCGAACGGGTCCATTACCTTAGGATAGGTGTATGCCATGCCAATGTGGTCGTTCGATGCGAAATTCGAAACGACGTTCTGAAGAGGTTCAGGTATCTCCCCGAAGTACTTCCGCAATACGCGAATGTACTCTGAAACTACATCGGCTTCCGGGAGCGACTTCATCTTCTTCGCCGTGGCTCCTGAGAACGAGATAGAGATGTGAGATAGTTGGTGCATCGAGCCGTCGCAGAAACGATGTAAGAGATTCATGGGACGAGCTCTTTCTAAGTGTTCGACTTATCCCGTGCTTACCGACTATGTAGCTTTTGAGAAGAAAGCGTTCGACGCCGTCTTTGTCGTAAGCGGATACATCAACGAAAAACGGGAAGAGACCACGCTCGTCATCGCCCTGGCTATCAATGGTTCGCATGATTAGACGACATCGATGCTCCTCATTCGAGGGACGCCAGAAACTGTGAGGGAACTCGGCAATGATCTGGGGATGGGGAAGAAGAGAAACTTCATTCGGAGGATTCCCGGATCCGTATTGCTCGTATTCGAGCTTGAATCGGATGCAGAGAATAATGATTCGCTCGGATTACCTGCTCCACCATTCCGCATCCGAACTGATTGATGAAGTCGATTTGCCCCGCGGGCAGATTCGGCTCGAACTTGATTTTGTCCTTTCAATTCGAATGAGAAATATTATTCTTGGGATCCGCTCCCTATGCCAATACAATCGTAACTTCAATCGAAGAGCCTCCGCCCTATTCGAGAAGAGGAACTTCGACGTCCTGCCGACTCACTTTTTGCAGCACATGCAAGGGAACAGCCACCACAACATAGTCGGCATCAATATCCTCCTTGCATCCATTCTCAGCGGTGATCTTCACCCGAGCTCTGCATTCGTCCGAATCCACGAGTCTGATCGACTCAACTTCACAACCAAGTCGAACTTCGAGTCCCGAGGAGAGGTCCTCCAGAAGCGGTCCTATCCCGCCGGGTACCATGGCCGAACGACCTGCAACGGAACAAGCGGCATAAACTGGGTTGATCGTTGCTCAAGCCATAAGGAAATTCGCAGTCAAGGGATCGGGAAGAGTATAGAAACTTGAGAAGGAAAGGGCTCGAGAGAAGAATGAGGGAGGAATGCCGAGAGAGTCTCGGAAGAGGTACTTACCCGAAAACTGTGAGCTGAAAGCTGTTTGCACGGACATTTTCGCCGAGATGTTGGACAATGATGTGCCATGACAGATTTCCAGCAGTGCCTTGTAGGACTCTAGGACCTGGACTTCGTCTTTCGTCAGCGTCTGCAAAATTTCGTTCCCGAATCATGCGATGCATCGACGAGGGATCGTTTGACGCGTGGGAGGTGTGACGGAATAAGACTAACCTTGTTGAGGCTCAGCTGCTTCAGAGTCTCTTCCAGCTTGGCTTCGAGGCTCTCGTCCCGGTCCGCTTGAGCCGACGCGAGCTGCGCCGCGCTGGATTTTTTGTTTTGGCTCTGTTTAGCCGAATGGAAATCGAGATTCTGCCTCCATTCAGTGATAGAATTGATAGCCGAACCGAACAGATCGTCTACGACCTCGTCCGATGCTGGATCTACGATTGTACCTGGAAAAGGAAATTCCTCGATGAATATATTCGACTATCCGAACTCGGTCAGCACGATGCGGTGGACACGAAGAAGGAGACTCACCCCCTGGTTGGAGTATCATTTGAGTTTCATCTTGCAGTTGGAGATTTACCCCACATTGGAAGGCTAGAGATGCTATGGGATTATTGATCACGCCAATAACGCGGTCGGCTCCAGAACATATCGTCAAACCATCATCGGGATTTTTCAAGCACTGCACGCGGCCGCCGATTCGATTACATGCTTCTAAAACTGTGATCTGCAAGTTCACGATAATCGTACGTCAAAAATTATTCACGAGCAGTTCGTGTCCATCATGATTTATGATGTCTCAAGCATTGTGGTGGATGTTGTTTCGTAGCATCATAGCCCACCTTCATCCCTAGATTGCTCAGATGCCTCCCAGCAGCGAGACCGCTGACACCTCCCCCCACGACGATAACCCTGGTGGGCGGTAAGCGAGGGAGCTCCGGAGGCGGTATCAAATGACCGTGGTTGACGATACCTCGCTGTGTCAGGTGGTGCAGTACCCGTTGAGCCTCGTACACGCATCTGGGGGAGAATTCGATTTTTCTTCATCCTGCCTCTTTTCCCTTTCTCGATATCTATTCGATTAAGAATTGCAGAATGAATTTTTTCCGAAGTTCTCACTTCGATGCTTACCTGATTCTCGACAATCCTCTACATAAAAGGTTCTTGGCGACTTCCTGTATCGTTAACCATCGGGTTGGGTCTCTCATCCACAGTGTGTAGATCACGTTCCGGAGACAAAGGTACATGGCCTGCTCTTTCGAGTACTCTGAGAAGATGAGTTTTTCATGCTCTTCCATGGCGTCGGGTCGCATCGCTAGCGCGATGTGCTCTTCTCCTGAAAATGGTCCGGAGGACTCTCTCATGAAAACAAAAAGCTCATGGTCTCCATGTGCGAATTCGAATAGATTTCTGGAGCGCTCGGGAAAAGCCGATGGAAGCCTCACCAACGTCGAGAAACGGATGCGTCAGTTCCTGTTTTATCAGATCCAACTGATTATCGTCCGCGTCGAGGAAACCCGGACAGAACGATTTTCGCGATTTACGAGCTTCTTCCACCTGCTTCTGGAGCTCCAGATATTTCTCTGCGAAAAATCGTTACGATCAGACTTCTCGAGCATCGTGGAGAGGAGTGCTCTGCACCGATTTTGTGGCTGATTCCACACCCATGGATTTCATGAGCCCTTTCTCATCTAAGAGTCAGTGAGTGGCACGATCGACGGATTTTCTTCTCAAATTCGTTCACCTGTTAAGCCTTCAGAGAGGTATTCGAGCTTCGATGCTGTCATCCCGAGAGCGACCGGGCTGTAATTCGTCAAAAGAGGAAACGCAGGACTGGCTTTCAGCATCGGTGCTAAGGATAGAGTATTAATCCAATGCGGAAGAACGGCGTTTTGAGCCTCCGTTGCTTCGGGTTGGTCACAGGGAGGCCCGGAACTCGCGTAGATCTGATCGCAGGTGAAATCGTTGATGAGATCGGGCGTCAGGTCTTGACTGAAAACCGAAGGCACTCTCCTGCTAGTCTATTCATCTCACTCATCCTGATCTCTGCTCCAATCGAGCATTTCGAGAGCCGCAAGGAGACGATCGAGAGTTCATAGCGAAGTTTCATGGTCGTCGCCAAACTTACTCCGATGGCAGAAGTCTCCATTTTTCGCATAATGTGCACTGCACCCAGAAAGGCAGAACTTGATCGGCCATAAACAAGCGTATGGCGGCCTCTCCCTTATAGTCGCGCATCCAGAAGTCTCCCCACAAGTTGTAAACCTGAGAGACATCATACATCATTGAGCATTGTTTTTCCGGTGTCCCTTTGAACTCTCATTTCCGAAGAGCTCAGCACTCACCGTGTACCCTGGTCTGTTGTTTTTATAGAAATGTTCGGAACACTCGGTGCAGTAATGCTCATCTTCACTCAGGTGATACCACCGAGGTGTCCAGAAGCTTCCGGTGCATCTTTCTGACGCTTGAGCGAAACAGACAGGTTCCTGAGAGCGAGGGAATCGCGGAGCGGTTATTCGTCAGCCTGGTGATAAGTGATAACCCCAGGCTCATTGAGAGAAGGCTCCACTGGGGGGAGCTCGGGAGAATCGACGATTCGCTCCGCGCTATGACAATCGCGATACTTGCCTTGCACGGACAGTGTATCTTCTCGCATGCTTTCTTTTTCCGCAGGAGCGGGAGAGAGTCTTTGGCTCTTTTTGAGGCGATCGAGTGGTCCGATTGCTTCGAGGATGGCCGACCTCTTTTCACCATTTTCGGGACTTGAGCGTGTCAGTCAGATAGTGGGTCTCCACATTTTTCTAAAACTGAGTTCTCCCAACTGTCAACAGCCAAATCTTGGTTCCGATCCTGGCGGGCGAATCAGCTCGCTGGGAAGTCCACCACGGGTGACAGAAACACTTCACATGACTCTCCACGACTCTGGAAAACTCGCCGCGTCCCGTGTCTCACATGCGACGGGCTCCCGTAACCATTTCAGATACAAACGTATAATTCTGAAGTGAACACCTGATTTGTTTTCATTCTCTTCCCGCTTGGGTTTCGCGCGATGAACGCATTTCCGAACTACGTTTCGAATATTCGCGCGGCGCGAAGCCTCTGGGTATGAGGAAAAGAACTGCCCCAAACCTCTGCCTGAGAGACAAGATATTTCCCGCTGAGATGATCATCATCGCACCTGCAGGTCTACCGCGATCAATAAATTGGAATCGGGGTTGGGGAGCCAAATGACAAACAGCCGTTGCCTGGAAATTGTGATAGATCGCGCCTTCGTGCCAGGGTCCTTTACTCTGAATCAGTGCCGGGCTCGGGTGAGTGCCCGAATCCTGAACCGTAGTGAGCAGAAACCGTATTCGGGGTCTTTGCTCTCTCTCCGGAAGAGCTCCAGGAGCTGATCTGGATGGTATGATCCGACTGCTGACCACGGGGAGCCGGGATTCCATGGGGAGTCATGCCTCGCACCGCATGGCGGAATGAGTCAAGTCTCGATCGGCTTTTCTCGTTCAGCGGTGGGCGTTTTCGGTGTATTCAAACGTCTGAAGTGCCGTCTGCCGAACTTCATAGCTGATGCTGTTGCAATAAACGATGCGCGCTTTCTAAGGACTCAGATTGGCTGCGGCCGTCAGCTTCGCCACGATCACAAGGAGCTCAAAGTCGATCCGTAGAGACCGATGAGTAGTAAGTCTCTTGTTCCCGATCGCGACGCTCTCTTCCGCAGACAAACTGAGCCTGAGGCACGACAGGAGGGACGGAACGCCCTGTGTTGCAACGGCGGCTGTAGAGGTCTGCTGTTGTGAGAAAGCACGCAGTCGCTCTTCCCCTCTTTAGAATTATCATGGGGTCACCCCTTCGCGGGCTGCTCCGCCAGGAAAAAAAGCACGGGATCCGCCTGCGAAATGCCAGATCAGAATGGTCTGATCCGCTGGCTTCGACGGAGGCTGTCGCTTCGAGGACAGACCAGGAGTTGGATCTGTCCTCCTCTTTTGAAACGGTCCCCAGAAGTTATTATGCGATATAAACCCGGTCGATTCAATGGTTCAGATTACCAATATCTTGCCACAATCCAAGACATCGAAGATCAATCACTCAATCGATCCCCTCTCCAAATGCGATCAATATAAGATAACGCAATCGGTAGAAGCTATTCTTTGAGGGTACTAAGCTTCCTTAGGAAGAATGGCGATCGCCTGGTAATCGATCTTTGAAGTTTGAGCAAATCAGGGAGTTCAAGAGTTTCAGTACACCGCTGCGCTGTAAGGGACGACATGAGACCTTTCTTGCTTCTGAGCCTGAGTCTCGCGCTCTGTCAAGCATTTCATGCTGACTTCAATGGCACGAGTATCCGTGATCTCAGAACCGAATACGATTTCGTGATCGGTGAGTAGAAAAATTGATATGAACAAAAATGCCGAATGCCTCAAGGGCTAACCTGCTGCTGCTTCTCGTTCCCGGGAAAAAGTCGGGGGTGGCTCCGCTGGATGCCGAATCGCTGATGTGCTAAGCTCGAGCGGGGAATTCACGGTTCTGGTGCTCGAAGCCGGAGGAGTTCCGCCAGAGTCGTCGAAGATCCCGCTCCTGGCGTTGATGCCTTACAACTCTAAGGAATATGACTGGATATACAGAAGCGTCCCGCAGAAAACTTCGATGCTCGCCGCGAAGAACAAGGTTATCTCTTCCTCGTAGAAAATTTATTCCCTCGAGCTTCCTCCTCCCAGTTGCTTCGAGCCGTTCCCTTCTGATCTGAGCGCCATGTGACCCTAGGTGCGGACATTGAACGCCGCCAGGAATCTTGGCGGAGGCTCCACCTGGAACATGATGTACTACCAGCGTGGCAATTTCGAAGACTACGATCGGTGGGAGAGAGATTTCGGAGCAAAGGGCTGGGGTTCCAAAGAAGTTTTGGAGCTGTTCAAGGAAGTAGAGGGCGCGGATGACATGGAGCTCTCAGGTAGACTCCTGAATTTCGATGTTCCCAAATTAAATGTATTTCTTCGAACCGCGACACCTGTTTGTAGGCGAATCGATCGAGGAATCAGCCTTCATCGTTTTCTGTGATATACGATTTCAAACGCGATCCCGTCCCTTCAACCCTCAGACGATTTCCACGGACGGCATGGACCCTTGGGTGTGACGACGTTCCGTGACGAATATCCACTGAAGGAAGCATTTTTCGAAGCTGCGGAGAAGACACTTGGTCTCAATTACAGTGATCAAAACGACGGGAACCACTGGGGATCTTTCCACTTGACTGTAAGCTACCTGATCGAGCTCTGCTCGAAATACCTCATACAAATGCTGAGACGCTCTTACTTGATACTGATCTTATCTCGAACGTTCCCAAAGGCAACCATAAAGAGAGGCCGACGTGTCTCGTCCTTCAACGCGTTCATCGAGCCCAATTTGAATCGCGGGAATTTGCACATATCTTTGTACTCACAGGTCCTGAAGGTAATGCTCGGAGTCCCCCTGTCAACGGAAGAAAATGTCAACGCTGCGCTGCCAATATTGCTTTGTTTGATTATCCCTTGATTTCGTAATTTGCTTCCTGATCCGTAGATCGATTTCGAAGATAAACGAGCGAGCGGCATAACAATCATCAAGGACGGTGTTCGGAGGAGCATTCGAGCCTCCAAGGAAGTCGTTTTGTCGGCAGGAGCTTTCCGTTCGCCTCAACTGCTGATGCTCTCAGGTATCGGCGACGAAGCTCATCTCAAAGAATTCAAGGTCAGCAGGTCTCCACCGTGAACCTTCATTCCGGCGATATACCGAGAGAATATACGACTTTGTCCCTCGGAGCTCTGATCAAAACATGTCAAGGTACCATGGTCGAAACAAAGCTTGTTTCAGATTCCGCTGAGATCACATCTGCCCGGGGTCGGTAAGAATCTCCAAGATCATTTCGGACACGTTGGCATCCTGGCGAAGATCCCTGACGACGACGTGCCCGATTTCGACGACGTTCGTGGGCTGAAGCAATGGTTGTTCGATCAGACGGGTGAGTGCTCACCTCCCAGCTGTATCGATTCTATCATTTATCATTCCTGGATCACCCGATTATGAGGTGAATTTTCGCCCCAGGACCCTTCGCAAAACCTCCTGGAGTCGGTTTAGGTCTTTTGTATACATCGACGGGAGCTGATAAACGGAGCCCCGACGTGGAGCTCATCCCGCAAGCGGCTAGGGAGGATCTTCTCGGCTCGGATCTCCCCGATGAGGTAATCGATCGTGGCAGAAGAGTTCCTTCCACATTTATACTCTTCGACCAAACTTCACTAATTGCAGATGCTGAGAGAATACTACGGCGAGTTCGCGGGACAGAGTATGCTCTCTTTCATACATCTCGTGCAGAAACCTAAGAGTCGCGGCGAGCTTCGCTTGGCCAGTGCTGATCCCATCGATTATCCCCAGATAGACATGAAATATTTCAGCCATCCCGACGATGTGAAATCTGCTGTCAGTGGTAAGATGCCAATCTTCAACACGGATTGGACGATCACCTCGCAGGAGGAGGATGCGGATCAATGACGATGGATGAATGCTTATTCCCACAGCTGCAAAACAAGTGGTAGAGCTTCTCCGATCCGATACAATGAGGAAAGCCGGCGTTCGACTCGTCGAGAAACATTTCCCGCCGTGCAAAGAATTCGATTTATTCTCGGAGGAGTACCTTTCCTGCCTTGCGACTCATCACACTGTGCACGTCTTCCATTACTGTGGAACTTGCCGGATCGGTGCTCAAGGGGATCCCTTGGCAGTCGTGGACGAGAGACTGCGGTGAGGATCACCGGATTCCAAGGAAGATCTCAAGTACTTGAGCATGGGTGTCGAATGTTCCCATGAATTTCAATGGTTTCTCTGACTATAGGGTGCGTGGCGTTGACGGTTTACGCGTGGTCGACACTTCCGTGATCCCTTCCATTCCCGTCGGTCATCTCAATGCACCAGTCATCATGATTGCCTCCAAAGCCGGGAAAATGATTCTCGAGGAGTACGACGATTCCCGCCCCAGGAAGGCAGCCGGGGAACTTTAATTCGAAGTCGCAGATCGATGCTGAATTGCGTAGGTGCAGCAAAAGGCACGAGGACCCTCGGCTTGGTCTCGCACATCGGTAGCGGCCGCAGAGAGCTTGAATAAATGGGTGTATTTTCTAAAAGAGACGAACCGAATGTGCACATGTATTCCTCTCCATCGGACAATGACCGGTTTAAAAAAATGTCACATTCCCGCGACTACGGGCCTCGGCGTTGACGCTCGTGACGATCGGTTTCTCGAGCTTACATTTGACGATTTCCCCTGGGGAGCTCGGATCCAGGGTGCAGTATTGATAGGCACATTCAGTTGGTCACTCTGGAGCCCCGCTGCGTTGTCCGAACCCGGCGGTTTCGCAACAATGTCAAGGACATACTGTGTTCAACATCAGAAGACTCACTCTCATCTGGGGGCTGTCATGTATGGGCTCGAGACATGGCAATTGATCCTCCTGAGTGCATTCACACTCCAGATCCGACCTCGGAAGCAATGGAACCGGCTCCGATGTGAGACCCCCTGCCGGATGAGACCTCCCGAGTCACGTATCAGACCTCTCTCTGGATTCCCCCGTACATGCTCTTATTAGACAGCTTTCACTGCATACTGACGATTTGGTAGCTATCTCCATACAACCTTCAGCGAAGGAACAAGTCAACTCTTCCGCAGAGACCAACGGTGACAAGCAAGCGATCGAATCCACCAATTCATCGTAGCTGACAGAATCTATTCTGGCAGCTTCTCCGAGGTGACACAATGGCGGCGATGGTCGGCTCGGGCAAAAACGGCTCTCTGTCGGCAGTCACCGTCAAAAACACAACACACACATCGCAATTTTGTTTTCGCGATCTGGTACATGTAGATCATCCATAGGATTGAGCGCAGTCCCAGAAGCTTGTCGATGCGACGCCTTACCCGAGCGGCTAGAGACCGCTTCTTATTCCCAATTCTCTACAAACTCAAATACAACACGAATGATGAACATTTATTCATTGAACAAGAGTGTGCCCGGCAAAAGACGCCAGAATCATCCGATCTGCTCCGTTGTCAAATTCCCGGGGGAAACCCCCGCGAGCCGCGAGTTTTCCCAACGATCTGCTACCGGGAGGCGGTGGAACGACTCACTTTTCCCGTCAATGTCGTCTCAAGGGCAGTAGCACACCGGGCACCGACCGTCTGGTCTGAGTTTCTTTGTGATGCGACAATTCCTCCCACATTGGCAATCTGTTGGGTAATCCCTGCAAGAGATTATGGATTTAGGTCTGAAGTCAAGTGACGCCATCGGAAGGTGCGGAACTTGTTGGCTGGCCAAAGCCCCGGTCCGAAACAGGCCTCGGAAACTAAGAGCTCACCTGCAAACCGGGTTGATTATTCCGGGGCTGGATTCGAAAAGGAAACACCGACCCGTGGCGCACTTCACACTATCGCACCCATTGATCGGGGTAGCGGCTGAGACCGTGGCGAGACTTGCACAGAAACTCAGCACCACGAGCAGGAGGACAGCTACGCAAGCGTTCCGCATTTTAAATGTGATTATGAATTGAAAACTTCAGTCTCCTGGAGTCGCGATGGTGACCTACGATTGCCAACATGTGTCTTCTCCAGCGGTACTAGAACGTGTACATAGTGGATTGCACCATCGTCGGTCGGATCGTCAACAAGAGAGGAGAGTTTCTGCACAGATCCCTCACCGACGGAATGGTCTTGATACCGCTCAGACCGTCGCGCACTGCGCCTTCCACTTTTGCCGCCCATACCGTTTGATACAATGAATGAGTCACCTAGCATTGTCCTCACCTGGACGCAAGCTCAGATTCTGTGAATTTCCACCGGGTCTCCGCGAGGTCATTCTTTACCGCTGTTATGTTTGCGAGCCTGGGATGCGAAGAAGGGAGACGGGTCATTTTCGACATTTCTCTCCATCTTTACCAATCTAGTTATGAATGCCGATGATCAGAAAGCCTTTCGGTCTGCACCGAGAAATGGATTGTGGATCCTTCAGAGGTCAGGAGAAGAACGGCATCGGATCTTCCATCGGAACACATCCTCGCAGAGGATGCGTGCGAAGTAGCGCCGCGAGCGTCATTCTCTGGCACCGTCGTTGAAATCCCCGAAGGTCTCACTAGCCAATGTTTTCCAGCCTCACAGCGCGAACGGCGACTATCCGGCTACATCCCACAGCGATAACAAGTTTAGCGCCCATTTATACCACTCGCAGATGATCGCCTCGCATACCGCAACGCTGGACTCCCCTAACGCGCCGGACGCTCCTCTCGAACTCCATAATGCAATCAGGATTGTGTCCCTTGAACAGGCCCAGATGAGAATCATCGCCCGGGATTTCGATCCGGATCGAATCAGACAGCCGGAAGATCAGGGGTCTGGTGTCTAGTGGATCATTGGTCATTGCTCTTCTCTCTCCCGAAACTTCCAGGGTTATTCTTCGAAAAACGCCACGTTTGTACCGCTCGCTCAGTGAAGATTTATTCAGCGTTGGATGTAACAAATCATGCCATCGAGCAATAAGTTAGAAATGATTCTTCAACTGTTCGCGCACGAGGTGTTATGTACAAAGTCCGAAGTCTACTCCACACCCATCGGATTAGCCGGCGAATGGATGTCGTCGATTTTCAAGATCATGCGTACGAGTTGGGTGGCCAACATGATCTGCTGTTTCTTGCCGGCTAGGGTCTCGATGACGTTCTGTTTCTTCATGTCGAACGTTCCGGTGAAGTTGCAATCGATTCCCAGATGCGGGTTCTTCTCTTTAGCTTGACGACTCTTCACGGCCGTGACCGTTTCGATCGGAGCTAGTCCGCTGTTTTCAGCCAGAGCTAATGGAATGGTTTCCAGAGCGTCGGAGAACGCTCTGAACGGATACTGCTCCAAACTTCCGAGACATCTGTCCGCCTCTTCGGCAACGGCCAGGGCGCATGAGATCTCAGACGCGCCGCCTCCGTAAACGACTCGGGAGTCGCGGACAAGGTTGCGGATGACACACAAGGCGTCGTGGAGCGACCTCTTGGCCTCGTCGACAATCATCTTGTTGCCTCCTCGAATGAAAATAGTCACGGCTTTCGAGTTTTTGCATTCCTCGATGACCAGCATACGATCTTTCGTGGTTCCGAAATTCAGTTCCCGAACCAGTCCGGCAGCGCCAAGCTTGTCGGTGGTCAGTTCGGAGAATCTGGGTACGATGCGACCGCCGGTGGCAATGGCAATCAGTTCGATCTCAGGTCCTCCGACCCAGCGGACGGCGGGCAACTCTTTCTGCAGAAGTAGATGGTTCGCTTCATCGTCGAAGCCCCACTGACAGATGACGAGGTTGGCTCCGGTCGCCTTAACCTGGTCGACCATCTCCTCGAATTTCTCGGCTTCGTATTTCCTCAGTGTCTCGTATTCCTCAACGGAGGTGACGTCCAACTTATGCTTGGTCTTGGGCTTCGGCGGCTCGAACGGACAGGTGAGGATGGCCAACTTCACGTCCTTCAGAGTCTTGGGCATCTGCGGATGGGACATGTCCTTGTCTACGATGACCCCCTTGACCAGAACGGTATCTTCGAGTTTACCGCCCTGCTTGCCTTCCACCTTGATGAGTTCGAAGTTCACGTCTTTGCGCTCGGGATCGGCAACCGCCATCACCGCATCGACGGCGATCTCTGCGAATTGGCGGTGACATTTGTTCACGATTTTCGAACCCAGAGTTGTCATGGCCACCCGGATGAGATTCTCCCTGTCGCTGACGGGGAAGGAGTCGGCGATTCTATCGAGGTTCTCGATGGCGCACTTAGCGGCCATGTCGAAACCGTCGGCGATACGGATCGGATGAATTCCTTTGTCGAGCAGCTGCTCGGCCTGTTCGAGGAGGGCTCCAGCAAGGACGACGACTCCGGTGGTACCGTCCCCGATTTCATCGTCCTGCGACTGGGAGAGCTGAACCAGGAGACGAGCGACCTGGAAGCGAGCAATCGATTCAAACTCCGTACATTGTCCCCTCGAGCTCGCAGGCTCCTGAGCTTCATCACGGCAAGGCACTTCTATGTCGGGCAATTCATCGAAAGAAATTGAATAGGATTTTCTGACGCACCTGATGATCCACATCCATTTTCTGCAGGATGGTGGCTCCGTCGTTGGTGATGCACACGTCCCCATCAGCAGATACCATCATCTTATCGAGTCCCTTGGGTCCCAGAGAAGTTCGGACGATGTCTGAGACCGCTTTCGCGGCGAGGATGTGCGACTGCAAAGAAGGAATCCGTCAGCTTCAGCATCTACCAATCACAGGATCAAGAAGCTGGAATCCAGTATTGGGATGGCAGCTCCCCGTGAGGGGGAATCCGTGAGTTTTCCCCGTGATTCACGCTCCGTCCATGACCCAGCCCGAGTAAGCAGTTCGTAAGACGAGGGACGCGGACGCTCGCAGAAGTTACTGAGTGAGCCGAGTCAGGTCCCGGAAAAGTCATCGTTAGAGGAGCCCAATAAAGATCTCGGCCCCAGGAATGTCATTCTCTATTCGTCGCTATCGACGCAACGAATTCGACGGCGAACTCCTTTACGAGAATGCTAGCTGGGAGGCCCTGTCATGGAGCGCTAGCCTTATATGGGCAGAACAGTATCCAGGCCCTGAAGGAAGAATGTCGACATTGTCCAGGCGCGGATCCTCGCTCTTCGGGGCTGAGTAGCTCCATGCGTCCCACCGCATGCCTTAGCTCACTCTGATTAGGATTATAAGGAGACCGAAAACCACGACGCCCGCGTGATTGTCGATTATGCGTACCTTGATAGCGTCGATGCCCTGGAGTCGCCTTTTCTTGTCTTGATCTTTGATTATGATGAACCGACGACCGAACTCATCACATGCCAGCATTCCCATCGCCGACATCTTGAGTCGATGAGAAGAAAATGACTTATTAGCGAAGAAAACTATAGAACGCTTTCAGAGTAGCCGGGCCTTGCCTCGCTCGTGGACACACCACACAGAGCTCTGTCGTCTGCTATGATAGCGGGCCCATTCCCGCTAGGCGGCCATCTTAGTCGAGGATCAAAGTATCCCGCCTCTCTCAACGTTTCTATCGGTAGGAAACCATGATCCGATATCCTGAGACTGAGGCAATGTGGTCTCTCTCAATGATTCTTACGGTAGAAGACCGCTATCCGAGTTCCTGAGACTGAGAGACTGCGGTCTCTCACACTCAGTCCACCCACAATCCTTCATCATCATATGTCCAACCTTCCCATATTGGTAGCTCGTTCCGCTGGATTTCCTTCCAGTCCTCGCATCATCTTACCTCCTCGTCCTCGAATCATTCGACTTCGGCCTCTGGAACTACGTCCTCTCACGGCAGGTACATGACGTGCTCGGACGTAGTCAGCTCGGCGAGGTAGACACTCCGAAGAGCTTTGGGATGAGGAACCCGATTGTTGTCAGACTTCTGTCCTGAACAGAGCTCGAAAACCATAGGACTACCGTTCTCAGGGCTTGGACCCCTGAGCGAGTCAAGCCCGGAAATCATAAGGCTTGCTTACTCAGAGCATGGACCCTCGAGAGAATCAAGTCCGAAAATCATAGGAGTATATTCATATGGGAGCATTCTTCCCAGTACTTCATCATGGTGATCGGATCTAACACCGGAAGCTGCGGGTGGTTCGAACTCGAGCTCCCGCTGCCCTTCCGTCGTAACCTCCGGGACTCCGGTACACCAATGTTGGCGCTGCATTCGCAGGGCCTCGCGGTGGCGGCGCGGTGCCAGACTTCCTACCGGGTCGCTGGAAAACAGAGACCGAGACGGTGACCAGGAAGTGGATGACGTTCAAAATTTATTCCTATGACAAGGATTCATGCTTATCTATCCATAGGTTCTATCCACCGTCGCCGGATTATCTGCGCGTATTTCTTCCCGACAAGTCGACTCAGGAGCTCTCCCATCGCATGGAAGCATTATGCGACCAGCTACAAATTCTCTGTCATACCTCATACTCATCTGCTAGGACGGCCTTTCGATCTCCCAGCTGTCGACTGGACGTCTGACATCCGTCCCGGCTCAGGAGACTGCTGAGAATACATGTCCAACTCCTTCCGCCTCACAAACGGACTCAGTCAAGTAAAGAGAAGTCCCGCGCGCCCTTCCGGTACCATTCTGGACGTTCTTCTTATAAACCAGGACAAGTCCCTGACCGCCGTAAACGGAGACAATCCTATACCTACCGACCGTTCGGCAATGCACTTCGATATAATCTGTGAGCTCTCATTTAGCAGCTCTCCGCATAAGCTCTCGTTACTTTTCTGATCGGGTCAAACTCAATCCTGCCCCAACCTATTACAGTTCCTTCCTCTCGCCTTCTGAAGATGTCCACTCAATGTACCATTCGTGTGATTTCACCCCGTGTTCCTCTCCAACGCATACCTCATAGATTCTTCAAACGTGAAAGCGTACGAAAATACGCTCTAAAACGCGTACAAGTGTACACGCCGAATTTCATGTCTAGCGCCACGGTCGGGGCGCTGATCCAGCGGGTCGGCCATCTTGCTTTGCGAATAAATGACATGCGCCTTCGTTGGGTTCTAATCCGAAACGAAATCGAACGCATCAGACTTCGCTCAAGCAAAACTTTTGCTCGACTCGGATCTCGAATTGATACTTGCTCGTGACATTTTCGAGCGGCTTACGATCCTCAAGAATTTTCCGATCTCAAAGTTCTGATCGCCGCTGCGCTCAACGTGCGACAGTGGCGCCCGGTTTGTTTTCATAACAGAGGAAGATGGCGATCGAAATAGAAGCGGCAGAGTAAGTTTTTGGCTAGAAAATTTAACTTTACGCCGGCGGGATCGCAGATTATACTGTAGAAGAGGTCTGGGAAGTCCCTCGCTGCTTCTCATGGGAGCGTTTCATTCTCAATCGACTGGGAGTCCGAAAATCATCTATAGGAAGTTTTACCGGCTTGGAGCTATACGAGATACGAAAGGAACTCGACGTCGCGAGACTCCATTTTCAGCTTCCCTTTGTCAGGACTATTTGGGCTCGACCCAACGATAGAGCTGAGCTTGCTCCGGGGGAGCTATCGGCGACCTTTGGAGAGAGCTCGAGAATTGAGATTGTTCGAATTTCGCGCGAGATGGACCGCCGCTTGATCGCGAGTCAGAGTGACGGAGGGAAATGACAGTATACGGGCGGGCGAATTCCTTGACGTGAAAATTATTCCTGTCATAATCAAGAGGTTGGATGCGCGTGGGCAATCTCTCGATTGTGAATGGCTTTCGAATTAATGTTGGCATTTTTCTCGTAGTGTGATTCGGCTCATCCAACAGTACCTTAAGGAGAGCAACTTGCACCGTGCCTTGCAGGTCCTACAGGTAATTCCCTATGTAATACACCTACAGTCTGGAATGATTCCCCTCATATGGACTGACTTCTGAAGCGGATTTCGAAAATTGCAGGAGGAAACCTCGATCTCACTCAACACGGTCGACTCCATCGACTCTTTCGTGCAAGACATACACCTGGGTCATTGGGACACCGTGCTCAAAGTCGTACAGAGCCTGAAACTCCCTGACAGAAAACTCATCGATCTGTATGAACAGGTAATACCGATCAGAGGTCATGAAGAATGCCTGTTTCCTGTCCGAAAACACGGGACCAATCGGTCATTCTTTTCCAGGTTGTGCTCGAACTCGTCGAATTGCGAGAGTTGGGAGCAGCTCGATCCCTTCTGAGACAGACGGATCCAATGCTGAAGATGAAAGCCGACGAACCCGAGAGATATCTGAACCTCGAGAGCTTGTTGAACAAATCATTCTTCGATCTCTCGGAGGCCTATCCTGCAGGTACGCTTCTCGGAGGTTGTTCCCCCTCGCCTTGTGATTTGTCATAGCGGATACAAAGAGCCAGTCGGGAATCTCATCATCGCCATTCATTTGTTTCCAGGCAGCTCAAAAGAGAAAAGGAGAGCTGCCATCGCGGCGGCGCTGTCCGGCGAGGTATCGGTCGTTCCCCCGTCCAGGCTGTTGGCCTTGCTGGGGCAGGCCTTGAAATGGCAACAGCACCAAGGTCTCCTACCACCCGGCTCTCAGATCGATCTCTTCCGGGGTAAAGCTGCTATCAAAGAACAAGAGGAAGAGAAATATCCCACAATGCTCTCAAAAACCATCAAATTCGGTAAGCGGGACGGGATCGTTAGAAACGGATAAAGCTTATGAGATCCGAATGGATGCTCTGTCGATTCGGAAGTGCTTCCGATTGAATGTACCTTCTTCCCAGGCAAAAACAGTGCCGAATGCGCCACTTTCTCGCCAGACGGCCAGTTCCTAGTCACAGGCTCCCTTGATGGGTTCATAGAAGTTTGGAATTTCGTCACGGGTAAAATTAGAAAAGACCTCAAGTATCAAGGCCAAGAGAATTTCATGATGATGGAGGACGCGGTACTCTGCTTGGAGTTCAGTAGAGACTCAGAAATGTTGGCGTCTGGAGGTCAAGGTGTGTGCGATCGGTGGAATCATAACGATTCTTCACGTGTGGTTCCGTCTCGAGAACATATTCCACGTGCGAAGGACAGTGGAAGGAGCTGACAATTTCAATTCATGGAGGCTTGTTCGATCCCCAGATGGAAAAATGAAAGTATGGAAACTCCAATCTGGACAATGTTTGAGACGCTTCGAAAAAGCTCACGCGAAAGGCGTGACCCGCATCCAGTTCTCAAAGGATTCGTCTCAGATTTTATCATCGTCTTTCGATCAGACGATCCGCATACACGGCTTGAAGTCAGGCAAACTGTTGAAAGAATTCAGGGGTCATACGTCTTTCGTGAACGACGTCGTGTATACCGTCGACGGTCATCATCTTCTCAGCGCCAGCTCCGATGGAACCGTCAAAATGTGGAGTATAAAATCGACTGAGTGCTTGCAGACATTCCACGCTTCATTGGGAGCTACTCAGGTAATCACCGTTCGAAAATAATCATAATTCAGCAGTGGTACCATTCATCGATGATGTGGGGACTGCTTGATCATACGTTTCATCCAACAGGGAGCGGCTGTGAATTCCATTCATCTTCTACCGAAAAATCCGGAACACTTCGTGGTTTGCAACCGATCGAACACCGTTTCGATTATGAACGCCCAAGGACAGGTTGGTATTGGAACCGAGACAAAGGCATCCATATACGAACCTCTGAGCGAACTGCAACTGATTGCGTTTTCCAGATTGTCCGGAGTTTCTCGTCGGGGAAACGAGAAGGTGGAGATTTTTTGAGTTGCGTCGTTTCTCCTCGAGGAGAGTGGATCTACGTCGTAGGTGAAGATAAAGTGCTTTATTGCTTCAACACATTGACGGGGACGCTCGATCGAACTCTGGCGGTCAGCGACGCCGAAGTGATCGGCGTTTCACACCATCCCCACCAGAACTTGATGGCCACATACTCCGACGACGGTCTTTTGAAGCTTTGGAGAGCCTGAGATCATCGTTTTCGTCTGGAGGCGAGTTCACTCGCGGGGGTGTATGTTGAATGAATGTGGAAAATCCCTGGACTCGTCGTGCGAGTCCCTGATTGACTTGAACTGTAAATTTTGAGAGATGAGGCTTTGTGAATTTTTCTTCAATATACGGATGGTTTCATACCGCGGCTGGTTCTATTCATTAGGCATCGCTAGTTCCCATGGCCAATCCATCGGTCGACCAGGGCAGTGCTCGACGCGCATCCGCGGTCAGCTCAGGCGGTCTTCGGGTGATAATCAGGTCGAGTTCCACAATTACGAATAGAGAACGGTCGAATCCGAGCGACCTGCGGGCTTCTCGATGCGAACCAGAGTAGGACATAGGTTAAAATGAGCTCGAGAATCTCCCCTACCCGCACTAGGCCAATCCATAAACTTTACCTCGCTCTCTTTCCATTTCCTCGAGTCTCTTGACCTGGACGTGATTCTCGAAGACTTCGGAGGATGACCTACTACTCTCGGTATTAAGAGTTCTTACTTCTTCTCCCCTGTTCAAAAAAAAGTTGGAAAACCATCTGTCTCAGTCAGGCCTAAGAGAAATCTCGTTCTACCCTTCTTCCTTCTCCCTATATTCATATGCGGCCTATACCACTATACGTACGAATAAATACTCGTTCTCGAATCGAATACCTAGGCCGCATTCGTCATGAAGTTAATCAATTGATCGCCAAAGTTGCGAAGTAGATTCGATGCGCGGACTCTTGATCGGCGCGCGACTCGCGTCTCGCGTGTGGCCTACCCTCGCCGGAAATCTCGGGGACGTTTCCAATTATTTCCGAATCGATCATTATTGATCCTCGAACTGATCCGAGAACGGCCCCGCTTAGGTGGAAGAGATCTCTGACGAGGACGCCCAGCGGATCTCTCGCTGAGATTGTATCACTTCCCATCCGAAGCCATACTTTCCATTGCCGCAGCCGATGAAAACCCCACAGCTTTGGACTGGACAATCCCTCTCCCTAGAATTTCGGCAGCTGTCTCCCGAGTAATTCCTCGTGATGGTGAATAGCGCTTGGAGAAGGCACATTCGAGATATTTTCTGCCGAGATCGAGATCGGTGATCTATGGATCTGAGGTGATGATCGAGCCGTCATGCGTTCCGTGGCTCGCCCTGCAGATGATTTAATTCTAGTACCACTGACGGCTCCGATCGGAACGGATACTCCGGATCAGAGGGGGATGCCAGCAGAAGAAGATCCGCCTTCGGGGACGATAGACGGAAGCGAAACGAGCCGAGGGCGCTCGGAATACCGCGGATGTCGTCTCCGCATCCCATCCCGAGAACAAGGAGCTCGAGTGAAGGAACCCACCCCACCGGAACGAGCACAGAAGTACATCATTTTTCAGTACAGTCGAGCCATCCGATCATTAAGAATTAGAAAGAAAAGGGGTCGTGCTCGCGACCCACCGAGAAGTCGGGATGGGAGATGAGCGGAGATTCGCATTGAATGACTTGGGTTCCGTATAGCGGAGTATATCGAGGAGCAGGAACTCTGAACTGCCGTCGGAGCCGAGCGCGACGTTGTTTCCCCTGAATTAGTTTGGGGAGTATAGGGAAGTCTCGGTTACATAACGCTGACGCGAGGATCTTCGCCTTGGTTGGAGTGCAATACGGCCATGTCACCGACCAAGGGGGTTGCCGCAGCTATACCACCAGACCTTACCGGGATGGATTCCACACGGCGCGGCGTATCCGAGGGGGGAGGTCGCAACATCGGAACAGGCATGATCCTAAAGTTTTCCCCCTTGCCATGAACCAGAGACGTAAAGCGTCTCCCCGATGAGGCAAGGCGCCCCACCACGTTCGTGCAAGCCGACCCGGTATAGTTTAATTCTGGAGAGCTCCTCTCGGCCAGGTCCAGCTGTGGCGTTAGAGAATATTATCTTCTGCGGGAACTCCGGGCCCTTCAAGCGGAAGGCAATGCACGCGAGCCAGTACATGCATTTGAGTCAGTTTCCTCGCTATTCAGTCCGGGACGAGGGGCGCTATCTGGGAGGTCGTTCATTACTTTTTATCGGGGAGAGATACGTCATGAGAGAGGAGACTCCCCGATCTGACCGAGACAGCGTGCTCGAGCCTCCTCCGCCAGGAGTAGACGAGGATCTAATCGAATGAGAATGATTCGTAACCCGGAAATCTCTAATCGACTGAATCGCGCTCGTAAGGAAATTTCGTCAAACTGTTTTGTCAACTCACCGAGAGACCCCAGTGAGGAATGGTTCGTTGGTCCCGAACTTCCCCGTATCTCCCCGTCGATGTCTCTCTTTTCGGTGCCGTTCTCATCTCCAACTCTCAATGGTGTCCGTCTCTCACGCTGCAGATATACGGCCATTCGATAATCATCACTGAACAATCGACCAGGAACCTTCAAAAAACGCCCAGCGTTCCGAGCAGAAGCGTGAAGACATAATATTACGAACCCTGAGGACGTGGACGGAATCAGGGACAGAGCAGGAACTGCAATACAGTGAAGACAGGAATCTCGGAACGCCAATATCGAGTCCCGGCCTTCGCTCTTCTTCCGATCGACCCGTCCGAGTGACTGAGCTAATATGTACAGTCTGACTGCGAGTCGATCGATCCCCCCGTCAACCTCAGGACCGGCGGTTCCGATGGCTCTGCGGCGACCGTATCTGTGGTGGTGGTCGTGTTGATGGTGTGGTAGATCTGTCCGTCCGTCCGTCCATCCATCCATTCGTCCGTTCGTTCGTTCGCCCGCCGGTCGTCGCGTACAGAGCGAGTAGAAACGAGCAGAATCAGCAGAGGAGTGTTTGTTCCACTCGCTCTATGTTTCATTTGTCGGATGGTGACTAGGTGGCGCTGCGCGAGATCTCTGTGATTGGCCGACCGAGAGCCGAAGAGGCCTCCCACCTTTCGGAGGGCACAAGCTGCCTCTCTACGACGACGGCGGTAGCGGCGGCGGAGCAGCGGCGACGATCGCGCGGCTACGACGGCGACTACGACGAGGGATCAATCTCATCGCGAACGAAGAAAGAGAAACACCATCTACCCCGCCGTCAGCAGCCTACCGGCGGCGGCACCGAAAAAAACTGAGGTTACTATTGTGGTTCGGACCTACCGAATCTTCGAGGGACCATCGGTGAGGACGACATCGGCACCGGCAGCAGCAACAACAGCAACAGCTGAACAGGCGACTCTGGACGCGGGTTTGGAGCTGCAATCTTGTAGGAATGCGCTGAAGAGCTCGCGCCCAGCCTTCGCCGGATTCTCTCCGTTTGAGACCGCTTCGAGCAACCTGATTCCGCGGTCCAACTCCGAGACAGAAGTGCTTCTTGATCCGCGTGCGTGCGTGCGTGCGAGCACCAATCGGTCCACCTGTCTTCTGCCCGCGCGACTCCCTGACCACTCGAGCGCTCCTCCGGGTCGGGCTCCATCGACGACCATTCGAACAGGTCCTGTTGTGATTCGGAGTGATTCGACATCTACTTTCGAAGTTCGTCGCCATTTGTTGTTGTTGGCTGTTGTTGCATTATTTTTGCCCCACACACTGTGAAATATCCTGTTGGAGAAGTGAGTGAAAGTGCGAGTGACTTGTCTGACTGAACGACATCCCGGAGTGAATTGTGTTTTGCTTTGCCGCTCCTTAGGATGAGCTCCGGATCGCTGTCCCAACATTACTCATCATCGAGCTGTTTCTGAAGACTGATAGGACTGGGAAAAAGTTGATTGACGTAGTGGAATGCCTTTGTTCATATCTGCTCGGATAGATACGTTCTGGAGCAGCAGCTGTGTTGGACGACACGTGCGTCTCGTTCGTCTGAAGTGAAGTGTTGACGCGCTAGTGAGTAGAAACCAGAGACCCAGACAGGTGGAAGAGTCCGCTGGGCATCAGCTCTGAGCAGCATCGAATCCAGACAACGAAACAAGTGATCAAGTCGAACATCATGCCATCGTCCGTCAGCGAAGCTGCTAATTCTTCAGCCAGCGGAGGTGGGGACGATGCCTTGGCTTCGTCAGATGAGATCAAAGTCTTCGATGATGAAGGTGGAGACGAAGAGAGATCCTCAGAAAATCTCACAGATCTCAAGTCTAGTCTCATTACCGAGGGTGAAGGGGTGAGTTCACGTAGGAATCCGCTCTAGAGTCCGTTACTGTGCGCCGTTAGTTCGGCGCGAGAGGAAAATCCGAATCGAGCTGACACCCGAAACCTGGAGTCAGCTGGTGAAGCATGTTTTTCTAAGTGTGGTTCCGCGCATAGCTCTCGACCCAGCGGAACGGAGTTAGTACCGTTGCGGCGCGATGCTTTGTTTTCTTGATCCGTTCGATATTGACGAACGAATGAGAACTATCCCCTCTAGCCACCCGCTGGAAGAACTGCTCTTCCGTCAAGTTCATTTTCTGTGAGGTTTCCGTTTCCGGAATGCGTCTTCCCCCCAAACGATTAGAGAAGCTCCAATTCCGAGGCTTCTGTGAATGTCATTGGGCCCTAGGATGCTGTCGAGCTCGACCTGGATGATTCGGGACCGAGTTTTGAAAGAAAAATATTCGACCAGTCCGAGTTTTTTCTCGCCTGGTGCGGCCCCAGAGCAGAAGCAGGGGTAGGCTAAGAAGTTCACCATTGTGAACATGCGGCTCGGCCCGTCGTCGAGAGCCTTTATGGCCGAGAAGTGGGTTCGTCAACGGCGCTAACACATTCAAACGCCTTCGAACTCGTACTTTCTTCTTCCTCTTTTTCGCCATTTATTCTGTCGTAACTCTTTGTCCACACTTCGACTTATGTGTTTATGACTGCGCAGAACAAGCATAACTCCATTAGGTCGGGACATGAAATCACGGCTGTATGGGCAACGAATTCGTGATCCATTCCCGTATTTCATATCTACTACGTAATCATTCAGAATAATTGCAATAACAATCGAACGCTTTCAGGATAAGGCCAGCTCCTCAGGATCCTATGCAGGCCCCGGGGAAGCGGCTCCATCCGTTGAGCTCTCAACGCCCGCCAGTGATGTTGGCAAACCACGGCTGCTTGCACCCAGGCCGGAACACCCCCTGTTCGGT